TCTCTCTTCCTCAGAGTTTTGTGAGGGAGGAGGGATAAGAATGAGCATGGGACAGGCTTAGAAACTGACTTTGTGATTTCACTGGTATAGGGAGCTCCCAGGCATGAACTTCCTCTCCCAAGGCACCTTCAATAATAATAGCTAGCATTATGGGCAGCTATGGTGCAGTGGATAGAGCGCTGGGCCTGGAGTCAGGAAGACTCATCTTCCTGAGTTCAAATCTGGCCTCAGACTTCACTAGCTATGCGACCCTGGGCAAGTCACTGAACCCTGTTTGCCTCAGTTTCCTCACTTGTAAAATGAGCTGGAGAAGGAAATGGTAAACTGCTCCAGTATCTCTGCCAAGAAAACCCCAAATGGGGTCACAAAGAGTTGTTCATGACTGAACAACAAAAGCATTTACATAATACTTTAAGAGTTACAAAGCATTTTACAAATAGTATCTCATTTAATTCCCACAACAACTCTGTAAGGTAGGTGTTATTATTATCCCCATTTTACAGAGGAGGAAATCAAAGCAGACAGAGGGTAAGTGACTTGTCCAAGGTAACACAGCCAGTAAGTGTCTGAGGCCTGATTTGAACTCAGGTCTGACTCCAGGTCCAGCTCACTATCCATTGTGCCACCTAGCAGTCTCAGATGAAGAGACTAAAATTGAGAAGTTATGTCTGAGACAGGATTTGAACTCAGGTCTTCCTGGCTCCAAGTCCAGCACTCTATCTAATGCACTACCTAATCGTCCCTTCTCTGCAACATATTAGTCATGTAACAGGCATTTATCAAGCACATACTATGGGCTAGACACTCTGCTGGTCTAGGAAGGCAAAAGCATGGTCCCTCCCCTCAAGAAGCCCACACTCTAACGAGGGAGGCCACATGTAAAGAGCTAGATAGGTATCAGATAGGTAGAGTGTAAATGGAAGGTGGCCCAGAGGAAGGCATCTGAGCAGGAGAGGTGTGGTGCAGTCAGGAGGTGTCACAAGGAAGCCTTGAGCCCAGGTCTTCCTGGCTTTGAGGCCAGCATGGCTCTCCACTCTACCCCAGCTCCTCTCCTTTCACCTCATCACCCATTTTAAATCACAGTTATTTGTCTACAGCTCTTATCTCCCTATTAGATTGTCAGCTCCCCAAGGGTAGGATTGGGTCATATCTAAACTTTGGATCTCCCAGCCGGCCTTGCACATGGCCTGAATAGAGCAGGCTTTTAATAAACATGTGTTGAATTGGACTGGGTGGAGCCTTGGCATGGCCTTCATCATGGTGGCCTCAGGGCCTAGAAGCTGAATCCCGATGAAAGGAGGGCCCATTCCTCAGGGGTCCTAGCAACTCTCAATTCCCCCTCACTCCCCTTCCAGTCATGCCCCCAGAGGCTATCACGTGATACTAATGAATGGGGGGATATTTTGATAGCTGAATTGCCTTCCTAATTTGGCTCTGGCTAGCATTAAAATGAGCTTTCTGGCTAATGTTAAAATTAGCTCTTTGGCGAACATTAAAGCGAGCTCTCTGGCTAGCGTCAAAAGGAGCACGCATTCGCTGAGCTGGGCCATGGCCGGAGCCCACTGGGCAATGCAGGGAAGCAGGTCCCAGAATAAAAATAGGCCTCCCAGAATCCTCCCCGGCGATGACCAGCTCATGGACAAATGGAGGGAGGCTTCAGCCATCCCAGTCTCCTGGGGGAGGGAGGGGGCGTCCCCTGGCACTCACACCCTCCTTATGATTCCAGGGCTGACCATCCTGTCCCTACAAATTCTCCCAAGGTCGTGGTTTCCCCCTCTCCTCCCTCCTGCTGGCTGGCCTTCTGGCCTCTCCACGGCTCCCTGGCCACCTCCTTCAAGAGAAGGAGAGAGTGTCTCTGGGTTGTTGCTGCTGCTGCGGAGGCCAAGGCCAGCTCTCACCCCATTGGCTGTGCCAAGCACTTGGGGGAAAAAAATTTGGAATTCACTCGACAAAGTGTCCTTGGCCCCCGGCCACCCACTCAAGCAGGCCAGCAGCTGGTGCCATTCAGCACTCTGCGTCACTCTCTTCTCGCCTGGCCCCAGAGGAAACTTGGTCCCATGACCCCTGAGCTGGGGATGCAAAGCTTCTATTTTAGGATGCATAGCCTGCTATCTTTCCCCCCAGGTTTTTCCCTTGCCCCAATCCTGGGGTATCATCCAGCTTTAGACTAGCTCCCCTCTCTAAGAAGGCCCTTCCAGCCCCCAATTCCACAGGAAATGGCAGAAATATGGAAGAAAGCACATTGGATATGAAGTCAAGGGATCTGGGTTCCTTTTGGCTAGGTAAGACATGTCTTTCTCTAGGTCTCACTATCAAACAGGGGGCAAGGAGCACTGGATTTGCAGTTCTAGAACATGAGTTCGAATCCTAGCTCTGCCTCTTACTTTTACCTTCACCTCTCCGCCTCTGTTCCTTGGTCTGTAAAATGAGAGGGTTGGACTAGATGGCCTCCAAGATCTCTTCTAGGACCTCAGGAACCTCTAAGGTCCCTTCTGGAACCTCAGGAACCTCCAAGAGCCCTTCTAGGACCTCAGGAACCTCTAAGAGCCCTTCTAGGACCTTAGGAACCTCCAAGAGCCCTTCTAGGACCTCAGGAACCTCTAAGGTCCCTTCTGGAACCTCAGGAACCTCCAGGATCCCTTCTAGGACATTAGGAACCTTTAAGGTCCCTTCTAATTCTAAGTTCCCAGTCCTGCTTTGTCTCTAATGTCCCTTTCATCTCCATACTTGATTGAGCTGTTTAGTCATTGAAACTCAATAAATACTGACTGGCAGAATGATCAAGTTCTTCCTGGGGTGGAGGCAAAGTACCAGGTGGCAGAGAAGCATCATGGGGGTATCAAGGCTCAGGGAAAAGCCAAGAAGCAGTAGCCTGAGAAGAACAAGACCCAAAAGGGGGCCTCCAAGTAAGACAGACACTACCAAATGGGAGCCCCATTTACAAGTAGTGAAAGCGTCCTCCGAAGAGTAAGAGAGCTGGCAGTGCCTTACCCTGCCTACTAATCTGGCCAGGGAAAAGGTGAGTATCCTTGGGGTGGGGCAGGGACAGAAGACGGTTACGTGACAGCCCCATAGGTGTGCACCCAGAGAACAGAGAGGATTGGAGCAGGAGGGGCTGACACACCCTGAATCCAACAGGTTGCCAACAGTCTCAGAAAAGAGCAGTTCCATTCATCTCTTCCAGCTGGAAGTCAATGCAAGAGGTGCTGAGTGAGCAGCCCCCTCCGCACCTGTGTTAATCCATTAATTGATGGTGCTAAATCAGTTGGGGAGGGGGTCTGGCAGACTCAGAACCCAAGAACAGAGGTCCAGAATCAGTCGAGAGGAGGCGAAGCAAGGTTCCACCTGGCAGCTGCCAGGACAATGCAACTCACAAGAAACAGCAGGTACAGTGCGCGAAGGAGATGGATGCCAAGGGGGAGAGAGAGAGACAGAGAGAGAGAGAGAGAGAGACAGAGAGACAGAGAGACAGAGAGTCAGAGAGAGACAGAGACAGAAACAGAGAGACAGAGACAGAGAGAGACAGAGAGAGAGAGAGAGAGACAGAGAGACAGAGAGTCAGAGAGAGACAGAGACAGAAACAGAGAGACAGAGACAGAGAGAGACAGAGAGTCAGAGAGAGACAGAGAGACAGAGACAGAGAGTCAGAGAGAGACAGAGACAGAAACAGAGAGACAGAGACAGAGAGAGACAGAAAGAGAGAGAGAGACAGAAAGAGAGACAGAGAGACAGAGAGAGAGACAGAGACAGACAAAGAGTCAGAGAGAGACAGACAGAGACAGAGACAGAGATTCAGAGAGAGACAGAGAGACAGAGACAGAGAGAGACAGAAAGAGAGAGAGACAGAAAGAGAGACAGAGAGACAGAGAGAGACAGAGACAGAGAGAGACAGAGACAGAGAGTCAGAGAGAGACAGAGACAGAAACAGAGAGACAGAGACAGAGAGAAAGAGAGAGAGAGGCAGAGAGAAAGAGAGAGAGAGAGACAGGAAGAGAGAGAGAGAGAGAGAGAAGTGGGGCAGAGATGTCTATGAGGCAGCCACCGAGGTAACAAGCAGACTAACGGATTGATAGGCCCCCAGGACCTCTGCCCAGGGTTGGTCCAGGTGGCAGAGGAGTGTTATTGTGTTTTTTGTTTTTCTTTTTTTTGTTTTTTTAAGGACTGTTACTGTGGATGAGAAAAGCTGAAAAGGTGGGGGGCTAAATGTCCCTGAGTACAGACACACACGGAACACAGGCCTCAGCCAGAGAAGATGTGTTGGGGCAGAGGACAGGGGGCAGCTTATGGAGTACAAAGAGCAAGAAGGGCCAGTGATATCCTGTCCCAGGAAAGAGGAATCAGTGATAACAAGGGACCAGAAAAACATGGCCATCTTCTCCTCATACAGCCATAGAAAACAAAGCCTCTGAATCTCTTTGTATTGCCAGGGTTCCTGGGCTCAATCAGATCAGCCTCCTGAAGCCCACCTTTCTGGGCAGGGGGCTAGAACAGAGCCTTGCTGATAGGGGATGTGCTTTCCAGGGGAGTCTGAGAAAAGGGACCTTCTCCCCCCTAAGACTCATCCCCATGCTGCCACTCTGGCCCTGGCCCAAGTTCCAGCCTCATCCCTTCCATCCCCACACCCTGCCCGGCCCCTGGCCCATCCTGTCCACCAGACCACAGCTGGTCCGCTTCTTCCCTTCCCCAGGCAGCCAGGCCCTCTCTGCCCTACCTGACTGGCCCCCCAAGCTGGTGCTGCTCCTGACTGTTCCTTTCTCTCTCTCTCCCCTTGTCCTCTGGGCTGCCCACCCTGTTCAAGTCAAATTCCCCATCCCAAACCTCAGGATCCCCTGGCACAGCCGAGACCCCAGACTCCTTCACACACGCTGCCTTAGGTGACCCCCCCTTCCCTGACCCTGTCCTCTGCCCTGGGACTGTGGCTCTCTAAGCCCCTGCCCTTGCCCAGCTCCCCTGCGGGCTGCCCTCCCCCACCCCCAGGCCGCCCCACTGGAGCCCCCTACCTGGCGCAGGTTTCGGGTGACCCGGACGTCGTGCCAGGCGTTGTCATTGAATTTGCCGTTGACAGGCTCCACCAGGGCCTCGAAGGCGCCGGATCCGAGGTTGATGACGAGCCAGACGGCCCCGGACTTGAGGGACAGGTTGACGTAGTCGGCCGACTTGCCCGTGTGCAGCATGAGGCCATTCCTTTGCAAGGTCCGGAAGGCCAGCGTGATCTCATCCGTGCTGCTCTGGATTGGGTTGTGAGACAGGTCGTAGCAGAAGAACTCGTTGCCTTTGAAGGTGGCCACAAACTCCTCCTTCCCTGCAGGGTGGGGGCCATGGGTTAGTTACAGGGACCAAGCTCCCCTCAGCCCACCCCAGAGCCTCAGAGCCCAGAAGCTCAACTAGAACAACCCACATCTGGTCGAGAATCCCCTCTCCACCGTCCCTGACGAGGGTTCCTCCATTCTCCGCTAGGAGACCTCCAGTGATGGAGAGAGCTACTTTTGCAATGATGGGGAGCTCACTACCAGTCCATTCCACTACCAGACAGCTCTAATTGTTACAAAGTTTTTCTCTATATTCCCCTACATTCATCCACTCTGTTACTTCTTAGCGCTCCAGGTTTGCGCCTCAGGATTTCCTCCTGAGGAGGAACTAGAGGAATTTTATTGTTTTTTGTTTTTTTGTTTTGTAAAGGACTGTTACTGTGGATGAGAAAAACTGAAAAAGTGGGGGGTTAAATGTCCCTGAGTACTAGAACTAGAACTGTGGGAACCTGCTCTCCTTCTCCATCCCTGAGGACCCAAGCATTCATCCCCTCTGACATCCACCTCCTCTAAGCACCCTGTCTATTCCCACAGCCCAGAGCTGCCGATTGGCTCCATCATCAGCTGCCGGGGCAGTGAGCTGCCTGCTCTTCTTGCTTCTTCCCCCCCAGCTGTAGCTAAGGGCAGGCCATTGAGACAAGGGAGAGATAAGCCCGTGGGAGGGAGGTCCTGCCACCCTAGCCGGGAGAAGAGAGTCGCCCCCTGCACCAGACCCTGCCCACACGCACTCGGAGGCTGCCTCCCCTCTCTCCAAGGTGTGAAAGGCTCTGCCTGGCTCTTCCCTCATGCATCGGTACGGTTCTGTGCCTCCTCACCCCGCAGGGCACTCAGCTGGGTTATAAGAAACAGTGGGTTCCCCTACACACCTGCAGAGTGCTCGACGAAACCCAGGAGCCCATCTTTGCTGATGCTAATCCTGCCCCATGCCCACTGGCACTCTGCATTGGGGCACCATACAGTCATCAAATGTCAGAGCTTGGAAGGGCCTTAGGATGCAGAATATCAGAACCAGCAGGGGCCTTAGAACATAGAACAGAGAATG